TCATGCAGTCTTGAAGGCGCTAATATGTGTTACATGCCGACCGCCGCGTCGAGAGCTTCTCCTTTTCATCTCACGTTCTCGTTATCATTGCTCTTTGCGCCGCGACGTTCCAGGCCAAATTGCGTGTTTGATTCCTCTCTTTACTCGACCTATTAAAGGCGCTGTCTCTTATATTGACAAAAACGACAAAAGTAGACATTACTATTCTCTCAGGAAGTGGAGATTTTTTCGCCTTTTCTCGTTTACAATTTTTTTTTCTGAATTTGATATTTTTTGATACCTACATTTAAAAAAATTGCAAAATTTGCCGCCCCCTTTTGCCGTCATGCGGGCCGCGGCCCATGTGGCCACCCCCTAAATCCAGCCCTGTCAGTATAACAAGGAGGGTTGAAATTGTTTGAAGAAGTTTGCTTCCTTGAATAATAAAAGTAAGAACTAGAGCTGCGAGAAAGCATTAGGTAAAAACCCCGAGTTAAGGGGAAGAATCCGGCCAAAATGACAATTCTGAAATTTCTCAAAACGCTGATTACTTCTTCAAAATCTGAAATTCGGTGTTAAGTTGGGAATTGAGACCACTGTCTCGTCGAATTGAGGACCATTCTTGCGAGCTAAGAGTGTAAAAACCAAAAGTTCTTGGAAAATAACAGGTGCTGCCTCCACAGGTATACCAGGTTCCGGAGAAAAATTCAGGAAAAACAAAATCCCGAAAACCCAAAACCGCAGCGGGAAAAGGAATGACTGGCTCGAGGATTTAAGGACCTTCAAAGAAAGCATTAGGTAAAAACCCCGAGTTAAGGGGAAGAATCCGGCCAAAATGAAAACTCTGAAATTTCTAAAGTACTTATTACTTCTAAAAAATCAGAAATTTGGTGTTGAGCTGGGCATTGCGACCATTGTTCCGCGTCGAACTGAGGACCATTCTTGCGAGCTAAGAGTGTAAAAACCAAAACCTCTTGAAAAATAGCAGGTGCTACCTCAGGTTCCGGAGAAAATTTCCAGAAAAGCTCTTGGGAAATTGCAGGTACTACTTTAGGTTCCGGAGAAAAATTCAGGGAAAGAAAATTTCGAAAATCTGAAACCGCAGCGGGAAATGGGATCACTGGCTCGTGGAATTGAGAACCGTTGGGGCGAGCTAACAGTATAAAAACCGAAAGCTCTTAGAAAATAGCAGGTACTATCTTAGGTTCCGGAGAAAAATTCAGGGAAAAAAAATTCCGAAAATCAGCGGGAAATGGGATCACTGGCTCGTGGAATCGAGGACCGTCGGGGCGAGACAACGGTGTAAATCAGCGCGGGCAACAGTGAGCCGGGTGACGTAAGCGGACCAATACGGTGAAGAAGTGAGAGTTAATCGATCCACGGCCGAGGACCAAGGAGCCACCGAGGATCACTTTCATTGCCAGCATAGCTTTCATCGCTCCCCGGGCACGGACACTCGGAACAGTCCAGTGTCGACGACAGCCTAACGCGGTCCCCGGTCCGGTCCCCCGGTCCCAGTTTCCCGGAATATCCACTTTCTCCGGAGTTTTCCTCGGAACTTTGCTTTCTCTTCCCGGATAACCCACTTTCTCCGGAGTTTTCCGCGGAACTTTGGTTTTTCGTCCCGGATAACCGACTTTCTCCGGAGTTTTCCGCGGAGCTTTGGTCTCTCGTCCCGGGTAACCGACTTCTTCCGGATTTTTCTCCGGAACTTCGTACCCCGTCCGACGTCGGAAATGCATCGCCCATGCTAGCCCCGAGAAAAAAGAGGAAGAAAAAATCCACCGGAAAGACTGTACCGGAAATCGTGGACTAGTGCGGAATACGCCTTCTCTCTATGAGCGTGCGATCCGGAAGTCATACTTGAAAAGTTGCCACAAACTGTGATAAACCGGGTGTAGGGGAAGCGCCTTGTAGATACTCTTGTGATTGGAGGGAAAACGTAGTGAATTACACCGTAAGAAAGAAAGGTTGTGCGCGAGGTGAGAGGGCTTATCTTTTCTAGTAGAGTCAAAATCGATCGAGGCGAAGAAAAACCCAAAATTGAGGTTCATGTCATATCTTTAACCTCAAAATCCCTCACGTTTTTCGATCCCGAATTCGAAATGCGGCTACGGGTGAGCGTTTTTTGACCCCCGTTCCCGCGATGACCCCGCGGCGGTGTTTTGGTGACCTCGGAGGACCCTGCGCGAGTGACTGAGTGCTACCGTTGAAAATAATGACTTGCGCCTAAGCGCACCTGAAGTTTAGTGTGTACCATGCAAATCGGGCAATTCTTTCATCTCGTCTTGCTCCACGTTTTGGCCGTCGTTTTAGCCACTCCGACGATGACGATGAACTCACGTTCCGAGAACAACACCGCGGTGAGTATGATCTCCGCCAACTTCATTCCATCATTGGCGGGTCCAGCAAATTGGCAACATTGTTTTTTCCCAATTTAAACCTATGGAAATGTATCTATTCTTAGAGGGGCCATAGGTATAGGTGCTCCGACAAGAATCGATTATTCAACATAGGTTTAAGTGGAGAGAATCCAGTGTTGTCAAATTTCTGGATCCGCCTCTGCATTCTATAAGAAGAAGCCGAAATTTTTTTGGATTTGCATGAAATCTGACGGAAATGTAAGTGAAATTTTCAGTTAGAAATGCCCAAGATTCTTCTGGTTAATTTGCAATTAGAGACGGAAAGGCAACATTGAAATGTAGTTACGTTCTTTTGTGAGGGAAACGGCAAAGTTTGCGTTAGAGACACCAAACGGGTAGGCCTGTTGGCGTTTCCTAATTTTTAAGCACCAAACACTGACGTGCTGAGGAAGAACGCCGTATGAACATTCGAGAGTTGCCAAATTCCTTCCAATAAAATGTTTATTTTTGAGGAAAGTTTGGAATAATTTTCCTTTAAATTTTCAGAGACTTTGGATCAAATTTCAAACAATATTATCTGACAAATTGGAGGGAAAATATTCGTAAATTTTCCTGAAAATTATTGATTTGACCAAGGAAATCTGGCAACGCCTGAGGCTAATACAGCGTGTTCCTTAGCACGGTAGAACACCTGACGTGCTTTAAGGCCGTAATATACCCCGTTTGCGACTTAGCCCTAAAACGGAAAAAAAGAGATGCAAAAAAGGTAGGTGACGCCAATGGACGTACCCGTTTCGAGTGTCCGACGCAAACCGTTTTCCCTTGGTGCGCTACCAGAAAATTGCGCTAACTGCATCGCGAGAGAGGGCTACCAAGCCGTAAATGTATAGACGAAGAGAGAAGTGAGCAGAGTCTCCCGACATACTTTGCTCTGCTGAAAGGCGTAACTCTTTTTTCACGTGAGTTATAGAAATCATGGAATTTTAAGGGCGAGAGGGCGTATTGTTGAGTATGGTTGCGCCGTAATGTCAGCAGAACGACGAAAAGAGAAGCTGCCTCTCGAATTTATTTCCTCCTCCTAACCGGTGAAGATTCGACCAAGAAGCTATGCTGTCGCATATCTACCAATAAAATATTTCGTTTTGAAAGAGATTTCGAACATTCTCCCTCGACTCTCAAAGACACCGGATGAAATTTCGAATAAAATTGCAGCGCTGGGTGCAGAGAGGGCATTTCTTGGTTGCGGTGTCTCAAAATCTTTCGCTAACGTTTCATTCACTATGACGGAAGCATATCTATGGAATTTATTGAAACTTTTAGTGAATTTTCTTAATGATTTTACAATGCTGAAATTAAAAAAATTTCAGAAACTCCACCCATTAGTTTCTTCTCTGAAACATAAATTAGCGGTCGGATTCCAAAACATCGCAACCAAGAAATGCCCTTTTTGCACCCAACGCCTCAATTCTCCTAAAAATTCAAATAAGAGTTTGGTACTTCTTTGACAAAAAGGCACATTAGACTTCCAATGCCGTTGAGATCGTAAATAAGATTTGCTGAAAACCAAAGGTTCATCCTCGCATCACGAGAGAATGTAAAAAGCTTTACAGCGCTTATTAAAAGAAATTCATATTATACCTCTGGACAGGTCGATGGTAAAATCTTGATAAACATTGTCATCACAACTCTACCATCGACCTAGCCCAGAAATTTCCCATAAATTTCCACTGTTAATCGCTGTAAAGTATCTTATTTTACCTCAAGATGAGGATAAGCATCTTTGGTTTTCAGCAAATCTTACTTACGATCTTAACGGTACACAGTGAATCGAGTCAATAGGAGAGGCCGGACAAAATTTGGAAAATTTAAAGGCTTATAACTCCGTTCATACTTACAATTTTGAGGATTTAAAAGTGGCTCTATTGGTTACCTCGTGAAATTTACTATAAAAGGGACCCCTTAAACTTCAAAATTTGACGTACTAACCATCAAAATTTGCAGTTTTAGTTAAAAATTTCATGTCCAACCTCCCTAATTGACTCGACCCACTGTCCGGCATTGGATGTATTTTCTGCCCTAGGAAGTACCAAATTTCATTATTTGTAGGTCGGAGTCTTGATAATTGTCATTTATTGCATGTAGTAAAAGTTGATTTAACTTTGAATCAACATTTATGAACTCTTTTACATGACGTCCATTACTAGATCCATCCTGGGACCACAGTGCGGTGGTCCCAGAAGCGCACAAACTAACGGTCATTAACAGTGTGCTTGTGAGAAGAAATCAATCTCTGTTACGAGTCGCTTTGGCCGTGACCTACAGCTGCATTCAAAAGGTCTTCCGACCAGGCGTTGACTCGTCAGTCGGTGGTTCCTCCACGACCAGAACTGGTTCCGGTCCGGGCCACGGCACATACAACTGGTTTCGGTCGGAGGAAAAAGCCCGAGCCGTGACCGGCACAACTCGAACTTTGCGTGACAAAACCCATCCTTAACGAATTCGACACATGGAGAAAACACTTCGGTCAGAAGGATCGAACTTCGGTGCGTATGAGGCACATGAATATTCGGTTCGAGTAACTGAGGTTTTCGGTCACAGTAACCGAAAATGGACTAACGGGCTGCTTATTGAAATTGATAGACAAAGCTCCGGACAAAGATGACAAATGGAAAATGGAGCGATTTTATTGATGGTGTTGGGATGGACAAAGGAGGTAAGTCATAGACTCACTAACGGCGACCCAAGAGAGACCCTAAAGATAGTCTGTATTTTACCTCCTTAGTCTATAGATCAACCACCCGGTTCAATCATCACTGAAAAAAAAAGTTCGGTCTTATATATACAAAGGTTCCGTGTGCCATATCATCCCAACTAACTCGACTCGCCGAATCGAACTTTTGGCTCGTGTAACCGAACTTTCGGTTCGTGAAACCAAACTTTCGGTTCGTGTAACAGAACTTGTGTGGTAAAATGAACTGACGAGCTAAGTTTGGTCAAACATGTCTAACGTTCGGTTATACGAACCGAAAAGTCTTTATTACACACTGAGAAAAAAACACATTGGATCTAGAGTCTAGACTCTTGGAAACATCGACAAGAAAAAATACTCTTGATTCAATCGGATTTTTGCTTGAATCAAAACGAAATCCGCTTAAATTAAGAGGCTTGGCTTTTGATTTAAGCTAGATTCTGATTGAATCAAGAGTACTTTTTCTTGTCGATGTTCTGCTTTTCTTGTTCTAGTCTGGACTCTAAATCCAATGTGTTTTTTTTTCCAGTGCTCTAATCAATTTAAATCCTTGTCTCCTTGAAAGTCCTTGTTTTCCCGGCCGATGCAAGTTTTCATGCAAAGTTTTGTGTCACCGCACGGCGGGGCCGACAAGGGGGAACTCCAAGATTTCAGTCTGGGAAAGCCATCGGCTTATCGATTGCGGAGATACGGCCACGGGACCGAGAGAGTAGGAAGTGTCCCGAAACCCGATGCCGGGGAGGATCGTTTGCGAAAGGCTTTCGTCATAAAGAGACAAGTTCCCCGATTGAAAAGGGCTCCTCTGAATTTTCACACCTCCCAGCGTTCCCCGCCTCGGCTCTCTCCATTTGCGAAATTACCCGGCTCCATAAACGGAGCCAGACCCGGGCTGAAAGGGTTCCGGCGTGGCAGGCGGCACCCGGAGCAGGGGGACCTCCTCCCCCGAGCAGAAACCGCTCAAGTCCCCCCCGGACCCAACCTCCGGATACGCGGTTTTGTCTTCGTCGCCGCGGCGGGGGTGTTGAAAGGCAACGTCGTAAGAGTAAACGCGGATCGATGGATGCATTCTTGGCAAAAAGTGCGCCATTTGAAGTGAGCTCCAAGTATTTTCGAAAATGTTTCCAACCTCCCCCTCCCCCGCCCCCCCCGCTCCGGGCCCCTCTCGGCCACTCAAACGCGGAGCTGTTCGACTTCGCGTTGAGCCTTATCATAAGTCCGACTCATTTATTCATCTCACGAACTTTACGTTCTCGCCGCCGCCAGCCGCTGTTGCTCGCTCCGCGCGACCCCGTAGTTCCCTCCCGGGCTCCCCGAAATATTTCCCGGCTCCGTAAACTTAATTTCGCGAATCGATACGTGGAATGGGATAGTGCCGAAAAATTAAAATCGGACGGGAACGGAACGTGAGCTACTGATATGCGATGAAACCCTCCGGGACCGTTGTACGGGTGTTTTCACGAAACTCGGTTGGATTCCAATTTTTTGAACTAGACTTATGGGGATCCAGACAACTCAAAGGGGGGAATGTAATGGGGGCTCAGGGGTCTCCCCCAACATTTTTGAGGCGTCCATTGCGCAATTTAGTCAATTTTGTCAGAAATGATTACCAAACGTAAGCGTCTTATTTCCTTCTTCGTTCCTAGGTTCCCTTACTCTTCTCTCTTCCTCTTTCTCGGTATGCTTGCGTGATTATGTTTTTGACAAATTTTAAATTAAACACATGTGAAGGTCGAAAATTTGCGGAGAAAGGTGTCAATTTGAACTCGGTAGCTTAAGAGATACCGCTCTCTCGAAGGATGCCGCGGATCGACCTAGTGCTATTTCACAACTCTCGTTTTTGAGAAACAAGACAAACTTCGCTGTAACGTCGGATTCGGAAGTCAGTTAAGCTATTCACACGCGGAGTCCTGTTTTGATGGTTCAAGCTCTTAATTAGCAAAAAATATTCGGATCTACCTTAATGTCAAGCTTCTAAGTCCAACATCAACGAGGATATCGCCCTTTAAAAATGACGGAGTTACGTCCTCTATCGCGGTAGTGTTTACCCTATACCGTGGTTTCTTCTACCGCGGTAGATGACGCCCTGGCTACGTCGTACATTTGGATGAACAATGCCTCCCTTAACATCGGTTGTTGAAACTTGGAGTTTGGACAAATTTTGTTTTCTCTTGCTAACCTATGAGCGCAAACCACCAAGGAGTAACACAGTTGATCCTAAAGCCAGGACCGGATTTAGGAGGTGGCCACATGGGCCGCGGCCCATGGCGGCAAATTTGGCAAATTTCTAAATGTAGCTATGAAAAAACTTGGATTCAGAAAAAAATTACAAACGAGAAAAGGCGACAAAATTTCTCATTTCCAGAGAGTATAGTAAGTTCTAATTTTGTCGTCTTTCGGTGATGCAAGAGACAGCACCTTTAATTATTCAAGTTAAAAGAGAAACCAAACACGCAATTTGGCCTGGAGCGGCGCAGCGCCGCCGAGAGCAATGCTGATGAGGACTTGAGATGAAAAGGAGAAGCTCTAGGCGTAGCGGTCGGCATGTAACACATATTAGCGCCTACAAGACTTCATGAATACTTCACGCATTGCATCAAACCCAGTGCGGTCAGCGCGGCGCGGTGGCAGAAGTTAAACTTATAAAACCACGTTTATGTTTGTTCTTTCATAATTTTTTGGTTCATTTCTTATAAATGGAGGGCCTTGTCCACATAGAGATAGGTTTACGGAACTTAACTTTCGCGCAAAGTTCCGTGAACTTTTGCTAGTAGTGTTAACAGGGCTTTCGCAAAAAAAAAAATGTTTCCAACACAAGTAAACGCGTCTTATGCACTCCTCCCCCTCCGGATCGTTTACTTGATGGTTTTTACCAATGTTTCAAAGCGAATGAGAAGGGGTGGCAAAATACTGGCGGCCCATGGGCGGCAAGTAGGTAAATCCGGCCCTGCCTAAAGCTCAATTCACACCATCAAACTTTTCATCCGACATACTCTTATTGAACGGAAAGTTGGATGGAAATTTGAACGCAAAAGAATTCAATTCAATTACCCTCCATTCAACTTTCCGACATAATTGAACAAAAAGTTTCATGAAAATTTGAATGAAAAATTGAATATGACGTCACATTCAAGTTTCCGTTGAATTTTTCATGAAATTGTCGTTGTCTCCTGTCGACAAGTTGTATTCAAGAGTTGAATGAAAAGTTAAATAGTGTGAATTGGGCTTTATTCGGTTCATACATTTTGTCGAATTTTGAGACAAACTTGATTTTAAAAATTCCGTCATCACTGATCTTTGCGGTAACACGGCAGTTTTTCGTGGCTAATCGACAAATACTTACCGAGTTCCGAAATTGGTAATATTGCACTTTTCCACACAGCCTTTTTCCTTAAGGATATTTTCCGCACGTGTGACCAAGTTGTAGAGGGATTTATTTTTGCGCGTGGACGGAGGAGGGGGGGCAAAGTGGTGATCGCCTCACGTACGTAAATCTTTCTCTTGGAAATGTTTATAGCGCGCCTTTACTCAGACTCGTGACTCGAACTTTATCGGATACTCTATTCGGAGCCGTTTAGGCGAGAAAGTCCTTTAGAGTGAGTTGCCGTCCTTTCATACCTTCTTCTCAGTCAGTCTGTGACAGTACGTACCAGCATACTCACTAGATGCCACTGGTAGTGTGTTTCTCTGAGCTAATTTTAATGATTTTTCCGCTTAGTGACATTGTCACTACATTACCCTCCGGCCAAAGTATCACAAGCGGCATGCGACGTTTAAAAATTCCGCCGCCATTTTATTTTTTTTACAGAGAAATTGTTCAATGAAGCTGTCCGAAAATTGCACTGGATTTTCTTTGTGTTGCCGATAAAATTCAGTGAAATTTTCAAATAGATTCAACCAAAAATTCTACTTTGAAAAATAAAACGACAGAGGAAATTTTGAAACGTCGCATGCCGCTTGTGATACTTTGGCCGGAAGGTGACGACTAGGATGACTCCACTCTATTTAGTCTTTCAGAAAATATATCCCCGGTTTTGTAAATATATTTCTTATTTTTCCTATGTACACAATGTGAATGTTTATTTTTTGTCACAATTCATTCAAAAGATCTATTCGACCGATTTTCATGTTTTTTGCGAATGTCAATGGGAGGTATTATCTATATGAGCTCGCTAGATTTAAATTGATTCAAGTGGCCCTTGAAGCGGGCGAAGGTACGTAGCGCCCTCGAGGGTTTGGGCCACGTACTAGCTAGGGGGCGTACCCTCTAGCCTATGTTTAAGGGATGAATTTTTTATCGGATTAGAATGGAGAGAGATGTTTGGGCCTTTGATGTGTGCGAAATGGTCCTATACAGTGACGACTTCGCGGCAAAATGACTCCAAGACCGGATTCTAGAATGACATAACTTATGTGTTTTTTATAGGTAGAATCTTAGCCCAGTGAATTACGCACTTTCGGCTTGCAACAGAAGATCCGTCATCTTGATTCTTACATTTGGTCTCATGAAAAAGTGATGTCAGACGATCTTCTGCCGCAGTCTAAAAGTGCGGGAACTTATTTGGCGTGGATTCTACCAGCCTTAGAGTCGCAGAAAACACCAATCGAGGTACAGCTGATACTTCCGCCGTGATAGTGAAACGAGCAGTAAGTGCATGCTGGGATGAACCTCAAGACACATAAAAGCATGTGCTAACCATAGCTCATACAGAAATGCACTTGCTCTCTTCGCTATCGAAGCAGACTCATCATAATGTAGGTGATGCCTGCTAAACTACCTCTTCAGGCACACTGAAAAAAAGGGCTATACAGACATACCGTCCGTTCCAAGCTCCGAGGCCGAATATTCTGGGTGCTGGAGCCGTAGCTTTGATTGCTCCGGGTGCTACGCCCGTAACTTTCGGCCTCAGCCCGGAACGCGGTCACCGGTCAGTATGTCCAAATGGTCCCTAAGTACGACTTCCGCA